AGGTGGAAAGGAAAAATTCTTTTTTACCTCAGCCTTTTGAAAGTTGTTTATGTTCTTACCGAGAAGAATCCAAACAAAATCCCAACCGATGAGAAGAATGATGAAGACTACGAGGCACATGAAGCAAAAGTGACTTCCTACAATATAGAGGAGTATAAATGTCATTTTTATCGCTTAAATTTCCTCGCTAATTAATTTTATGATTATTGCTATGACACTACTTACACTTTGTCTTCTATTAATTTTTAGCATGCTTGCTTGTGTCATATTAACAGTAAATATGTGAGAATCTTGAGTAGTTTATGATTAATTCCTAAAGTGACAAAAAAAAATTGAGAAATGTGAAGTTTGTAGTAAAGAAAAAATTACCAAGAGGCCTCATGAAAGCATTGAAAAAAATACCAAATTTCTATAATCATTTCATATTGATTTGTGTGCGTTTGAAAGAATTTTAACTCAGGGTGGTAACCGATATTTTATCAATTTTATTGATGATTTTTTAAAATATACAAACGTATATTTATTAAAAAAAAAAGTGATACTTTTGAGAAATTTAAAAAATTTCTTCTTAAAGTGGAAAATCAATTCAGTAAAAAGATTAAGAGAATTAGAAGTGATAGAGGCCGGGAGTATGAATCTCTTGGATTAAACTCTTTTGTTTAGTTATTGGGTATTATTCATGAGATTACTCCACCATATTCACCTTCATCTAATAGTGTAGTTGAAAGAAAAAAATATAACATTAATTTACTTGACGAATGCTATGCTTATTGATTCAAGTGCTCCCTCAAATCTTTAGTGCGAAGCTATTTTGACAACTTGCCATGTGATAAATAGAGTGCCACAAAAAGACTAAAATTGTACCTTATGAGTTGTGGCGGGGGCATAAACCAAATCTAAGTTATTTGAAGGTTTGGGGTTGTTTAGCTTTTGTAAGCCTTGCAGATCTTAAACAACCTAAATTAGGTGAACGAGCTACTATTTGTACCTTTCTTGGGTATGCATTGCATAATACAGCTTATAGATTTTTTAATATGAAAAATAATATTATTTTTGAATCAGATGATGCTATTTTTCATGAAAATAAATTTCCTCTCAAATCTAAAAATAGTGGGGTTCAAATAATTTCTGAAAATATTTTATTCATGCCTAGCTCTTCTACTTCATCCCAAGTTTTTCAAGAACAAGAAAATTTTCAAATCCAACCAAGGAGGAGTAAACGAGCTAGAGTTGAAAAAGATTTTGGCCCTGACTATTATCTTTACAATGTGGAAGAAATTCCTCTTACGGTGCAATAAGCTTTATTATCACCTGATGTTATTTTCTGGAGGGAGATTGTAAATGATGAGATAAATTCACTACTTTCAAATAAAATATGGAAGCTAGTAGATTTACCTCTAGGCTGTAAAACTATTGGGTGTAAATGGATCATTCGTAAAAAGCTTAAACCGAATGGAACTATACATAAAAATAAAGCGAGACTTGTTGCTAAAGGTTTTAAGCAACAAGTTTGATTCTTTTGATATTTTTCTCTAGTTGCTAGAGTTACACCCATTAAATTGTTGATAGCAATGGCCACAATTCATGATTTAAAAATTCATCAAATGGATGTGAAAACAACATTTTTAAATGGAGATCTAGATGAGGAGGTTTATATGGACCAACCCGAGGGTTTTGTGGAGCCTGGCTAAGAATCAAGGTGCGTAAGCTAACTAAATCCCTTATGGTTTAAAATAAGCTCTTAAATAGTGGCATGAGAAATTTGATTCTTGAATACGTAAGAATGACTAGAAGACTAATGAATGCAATAAGTGCATATATTATAAAACTTGTGAGAATGCACATGTGATTGTTAGCCTATATGTGGATGATCTATTTATCTTTAGCTCTAATTTGCATATTATAAATGAGACTAAAAATATTTTAATAGTCATTTTGATATGAAAGATCTTAGTGAAGCCAATTTTATTTTGGGAATTAAAATTACCAAGACTAATGATGGCATTTTTCTTGATCAATCGCATTTTATTGAGAAAATTTTAAAGAAATATAATTTTCTAGACTGTAAACATGTTGTTATTCCTTTTGATGCAAGCATACATTTATTTGTTGTAGCAAATGAAAAATAAGTGATTAATCAAAAGGAATATGCTAGCATGATTGGTAGTTTGAAATATACTACTGACTGTACTAGACTTGACATTACATATGCTGTTGGAGTACTTAGCAGGTTTACTAGCAAGCCAAGTCGAGATCATAGGCTAATCATCGAAAGAATTATGAGATATTTATCAGGTACCAAAAATTATGGTTTGTTTTATAACAAGTATCATGCGGTACTTGAGAGATATAGTGATGCCAATTAGAACACTTTGTCAAGTAATTCTCTCTCTACCTCGAGTTTTATTTTTATCTTGGGTGGTGGTGCTATATGTTGGAAGTCTAAAAACCATACTATAATTGCTAATTCTACAATGGAAGCTGAGTTTATAGCGTTAGCTTCAGTATGTAAGGAAGCAAATTGGTTGAAAGATTTGCTACATGAAAACCTTTTTGGGAAAAATCAATTCCTCTTGTGTTAATTCATTATGATAGCGCTGCTACTATTGGCAGAGTGAACAACAATTTTCAATGGTAAATCCAAACCTATTCAAAGGAAACACAGTAGTGTGAGATCCTATTTGAGTAATGGCATCATAACTGTGAATTATGTAAAATCTTGTAATAATGTTGCGGATCCGTTAACCAAGGCTTTGACGAGAGATGGGGTCTGGAATACATTGAGGGAGATGGGTTTAAAGCCTATAAAATCATAAACCATGTATGAGGACACCCAAGCTGGGGGACCAGAGATCCTACAACTAGGTTCAATGGGAAGAACGAATCATATGGTGGTTGTAAAAAATGCACTCCTTAATATTTTGTTATCTATCTTTATGATGTAAGTGCATTTGTCCTGTAATGTTGGAGGGTTGAGTTTTTATACTCTTAATGAAATTCTGTAACTCGTTTTAAGTGGGGTGTGTAAATTACATGAACATTCTTGATAGATTTCACCTATGTAAGCATGAAATTGGGGCCGCTTTCTATGAGAAAAAGACTTATTCTCAAATATGCCCATGAAAATTGGGATAGGCACAAGGCCGTAATGTGTTGGCTATTAAAAGCTCATGTCAACACCTGAATTATTATATGTGAGCAGTAATACTTTATTTTCCCCTAAGTAGTCATAGTTTAAGTCTGAGATTACTACTGACTCTGGGGTAAAGGTTATTGTTTCACTAATGAAAGTTCAATGCAGAGCACACATTCATGATGCATATTAGTCTATCTTTGTTTGGTAATCTCTCTTGTCCTTGTTATTAAAATGAGTGGGGGATTGTTAGACCATTTTATTATCTTTTATTTATTTATTTATTTATTTATTTTGTTCATGAATCTTCTTTTGCCTTGTTCATGAATCTTATTTTATTTGGTGAATGGAGATTCATAGTTTTTTGGTGACCTTTTGTCTTGTTCATTAATGGAGATTAATTAGAAGTTCATGGAGTTGGTGGTGAGTTAATATTTGGAGACTCTCCATTTTCTGTAATTTAATCACTACAAGAAATTACACATTTGCCGACCACTTTTGCCCACTAAAAAAATTTAGTCGAAAAAAAATGACATTTGCTGACCCAAAAAAAAAAATCGTAGCTAAAAGTCGATACTATTATCGACTAAAGTAATTTTGTTGAAAAAAAGTGATTTTTTTGCAACCAATTAAAAATATTTGTCGCTAAAAATATAGGCGGAAGGCAAAAAATTATTTTTAATCTTTGATGACCAAAAGTTTGGTTGCCAAAAATTTATTTTCAACGATTAAAAAATATTTTAGTCGCTGTATAGTTAGTTTTGGCTACTAAAATTATTTAGTCGCCGAATGAAAAACAAAAAATTATTTTTTATCTTTGGTGAACAAAAGTTTGGTCGCTAAAAATTATTTTCAATGACTAAAAAATATTTTTGTCGTTGTATAGTTAGTTTTGGCTACTAAAATTATTTAGTCGTGGAATGAAAAATAAAAATTTATTTTCAGCGACTAAAAAATATTTTAGTCACTGTATAGTTAGTTTTGGTTATTAAAATTATTTAGTCGTCGAATGAAAAACAAAAATTTATTTTTTATTTTTGACATCCAAAAGTTGAGTCACCAAAAATTTATTTTTTATCTTTAATGACCAAAAAAAATTAGATTACTAAAAATTATTTTTAGCAACTAAAAAAATATTTAATCATGAAATAATAAAAATATTTGAAAAAAACTTTTTAAATTTTAAAAAGAGCTATAAAATTAATTCACGACCAAAATATTTAGTCGTGAAGGGTGTAAAATGGCCATTATATATTTTGCACATACATATATGTATTCGCACATGTAGATACACACCGTCTCTCTCTCTCTCTGTTGGGAGGGCAACGCACAAAGTATTAGGTAGCGTTTGGTAAAGTTTTGTAAATGTGATTTGAGAGTATGAGTTGTATTTTGAGTTTGTGTGTTGTGGAGTTATGATTTGAGTGTAGAAAATTTGTTTGGTAAAGAGTTTTGAAAATAGTTTTGGAAAAGAGGTTTGATTTGAGTGGGGAATTATTGATGTGACATTTGATATGTGATACAAAAATTTACAACTCATAACTAAACATACAATTCAAAATTATTTTAAAGCACATAAAAAATTAAAAAAATTTCAGAAAATATTTTTTCCGATTATATAAAAATTAACATATCAATTGCAAAAAAAAAAAAAAAAAAATTACTGTTCCGGTCAACCGGCCGGACGACCGGCCGGACGCCCCCTTAGCAAAAATTTTGAAAGAAAAAACAGAGCAAAAGACCGGCTGAGACAGATTTGGTACAGAGCTCTCAACGAGCTTTTGAAACGTGATTACAAAATCCTAAACAAACATCATACTGAAACACAGGTGTAGAATCACGTTTCAAAAGCACAACCAAACACAGCCGTATTTTTTCTTTAATAAACCGCACTCACTAGAGTAACGTCACACAAATCCAAACCACGCTCAAACCACTTCCTTCACCACCGCCCGAGTCTCGGCAGCAGGAACAGCGATATAGCCCATCCTCTGCAGGTTCACATCATCAGCACCATCAAAATCATCATCTGAATCACGGAATTCGAAGCTGTTGGGATTAGCGAAAAGAGACCAGATCAAGTAAAGAGTTCTGGCAGTGATGGCGCCACAAGCGACTCCTAACAACAGAGATCCAACATCCTTGATAATGCCCTTAGTGCGATCGTTTAACGAAGTGTAGAAACCAAGAATTGGGCGTCGAATTTCTTCACCGATTTTGGATCGATGGACCAAGTGAGAGGGGTGAGTGGGGAGGAAGGTGAGTTTGGGTCGAAATCTCTGGATTGGGTGAGGAAAAAGTTGAGGGATGGATTGTTATGTTCAATTGGGTGAAGAAATCGTAGGTTCAATCGGAGTCAAGAGACTCGAGATCTTGTAGCTTCTTTCTCTGGTGAGTTCGTATCTACACCTATTTTTGCATACATTGTTATACTTGTAGCATCTCGTTATCCTTCAATTTTTTCTTTGCCTTCCTATCAGTTCAGCTTCTGTTTTCTGTAGATCTGCAAGAAAGACAATATCTATGTTTATTATTTTTAATTTTTCTATCTCTAAACCATGGGTCTTAAATTTATCCTTTTATGTGCATGTATAATATATTTCCTGTTTTTTTTTTTATTATTATTAAATTTCTCCTTTTATTATTATTATTGAATTCATGCGGTTGTATGTGTACCATGGGTCTTAAATTTCTCCTTTTATGAGGGCTTTCATCAGTCACTTCGTTTCAATTGGTACCCTATTATATAGAGCTAGCTGAATGTTGCCCGCAGTTTGAACTCCCTCAAAAACAAGATAGATCTTGCTGTTGTGGGGGCACAATTTGTGGCCTTGGGCAGTGTGGCTTCTTCGGCTTCCCTCTATACTTGTTCTATGTTTTTTTAAGGGGTTGGAATGTTAATGAAAGCTACATCTGACATATTAAACTATCATGTATCAGACTTTTTTTTTTCTCCTTTGGTTGTAGTTCCTTGTTGCAATTATACTGATGTTTTTGCTTTTAAATCAGTTGAAATGATTTTGATGCACAATGATGGATAACTAATTTTGAGTGGTTACTTCGGTTTTCATTGGATGCCTCTTCCATCTTCAGTATCACCACCACCACCACCACCACCACCACCATCATCATCATCTTCTTCTTCTTCTTCTATTATTATTATTATTATTATTTAGTTGAGAGAGGCTTCTAATGATAAACCATATGACTTCAACCAACAATGAATTATGATAGCTATGAGATCTGAGGGATTTTACAAGTGTTTTTGAAGTGGTGGATTTTGCTGGGTAAAGCTAGCAAGGGGATTGAGTTACTGATATGATATTGATGTTGATCTTAAATTTTTTTTTTAAACAAGTATTCTGTTTTCTAAAATATATTTTAGATTTTTGATCTTTGACGGTGCCCACTGCCCAATGATGAAATTCATTCTCTTGAGATGTTGCTTAGATTTTGTTAACAAGCCTTCTTCATCATCTTTGTCATTTTCATCATAATCAATGTGGTGGTGGGGGTTATTGTATTATCATTATTATTATTATTATTGGTGTGGTGTTGTGTGTTGTGGTTGTGGTGTTGAAGGGTGTCAACAAAAATCGTAAGAATTCAAGATTGATGAATTATGATAGCTATGACATCTAAGGGCATGTTTTGCACTAATAATGTGAAGCTTATAACCTTCTTTTCTTGGAGGTTGGTGACTTGATATGCAATTGTGGTTTTACTAACCTTGTGTTCTTAGCTTGATGAAGAAAAGAAAACCCATTTTTTATGTCATAATTCAATGAAATCAAATTCTTTTTTTGGTGTTCTCAGGGTTTTTTTTTCATCAATATCTTGAAGCACCCTAACCATCTTTTATTTTGTATTATCATTTTACTTATTTACATATTGTTTCTGTTTTGGTGGTTCATGCAGATTCGTTGGAGGAAAGTGTTACTACACACAACCACTAAAAAGGATGCATATTGTATGCACTCAAAATTTCAGTCACAATTGGTCATGGGTTGCCCAATGAAGCAGTTTAAAGGTTTATATCCATCACTGGTCTTTATGAATGGTTTTCACTTCTGTGGGTATGTCAGTGTCATGTACCCTTTTTTTTGTTTTTGTTTTTGTTTTTGTTTTTATAATTCACATCTGTTTGATGGTGTGCAAAGGCTTTTGATGAATTCCATCTTCAAAGCATTTACTAGTCATTCAAGAGTAATTATATCCAAGGCTTTCCTTAGTCACTTTGTTTCTATGGTGCCCCCAACTATTTAGACTTACTCATGCTGCCCCCAGTTTAAACTCTTGCTAAATAATAAAGCGAATTCTAGTCTTCTAGTCCGATCATGCGCTTAGGGAACACAATTTGTTGTATCACTATAATTGGTTCTCTTGTTTTATATGTGGGGTTGCATTGTTAATGAAAGTGTATGGATATTGCAGTGTTGTGTAGATATATTTCTTGGTGTTAGAATAATGGTTATGTGCTGGCTGTTCAACATCGACTTAGATAAATCACAAATACTGAATGATAATTTATTATCACTTGGCTGTGAGAGTAGTTTATTTTCTGCAATTTTTGTTTGAAATGCAGCATAGAAAGCTAAGTCTGTCTAAATTGCATCTGATAATTTTTCTTGTATCCATTCTTGATTTGAGGATGCTTCATGTTGCAATAATTTGTCATTTTGGTCTAAAAAAAATAACCTTTATATTTAAAAAATATCAAAAACAAAATATATATATATATATATATATTCAAATAACAAGTGGAAATTGCAACAAAAAAAAAGAAGTATTGTTCTGATCAATCGGCCGGACGACTGGCTGAATGTTCGGGAGGATTGCCCGGGTAGACCAAAAAATTCATAAACTCTCTAGTCTACCAAACATGTTTTGAAATGTGTTTTAGAATCATATTTTGAAAACTATAATCAAACAGAGGGTTGGAATATGATGGTGAAATCATGATTTGAGACCCAAACTAAACAGATATATAGACACTTCAAATGATATTTAGCATATGTTGGAGAATACTCACTGGATTGTTCAAATATCTAACATTCTGTGATTAAATCTCCTATTTCATTTTTGTTTCATGTGTTAATCTTGTCCTGAATTCCTATGGATTTTGCAATCTATTGTTCAGAGCGTTTGAATTTTATTCCTCCAATCTAATGCTTTTAAATGTTTCCAGGTAAGTGTGTGAGGGAGAGACGTGAGGGATCGTAGAGATGAGAGCATCGAGGACCTGCTCAAATTCTTCAAGGATGAAGTTGCTGCTTTTCGTTAAGGGTGTGCTTGTACAGAAGAAGGATACTGATGAGACAATCAACATCATATCTCATTACAATTTGTTACCTGTATTCCTTTCCTTCTTTGGTTCCTCATTTTAATCTCATTATGCTCATCTTCTGTTATATATTTATTTAATTCAATTTTCTGATTTCCTAACAGTTGTTTGCATACATTCTCATAATCGTAACCGGGAAGTTATTAAACACATCGTTTAATTGTTAATATATAATCTCAAATCTATTCCACGTCTCTTTATGGTATTTTCGGGTATGCAATGCACATATTCGTGTTGAAGTTGAGATATCAAGTAGACCAGATTGTATTGAATGGATTATTATGAATTATAGGTTTATTTTGTTGGATGTTGGTGCAAAAATTCCTTTCGGCGACCAAATTGTTTGGTCGTGAAATGTCACAATTGGCGACCAAACTTTTTGGTCGTGGAATGTCACAATTGGCGACCGAACATTTTGGTTGTGGAATGTGATAATTGGTGGCCAAATTTTTTGGTCGTAGAATGTGACAATTGGCGATTAATATGTTTGGTTGGGAAAATATCACTTTTTGAGATCAAAGTGTTTTACCTACTAAATGAATTAGTCGCTGTAATGATATATTTAGCAATCAAAAATTTAGTCGGCAAATTTAACTTTTTGTCGACTAACAAAAGTTTTAGTCGCTAATTACTTTTGTCGATTCTCAATTGGCGACCAAAGTGGCAACCAAAAAAATTAGTCGCCGATAACTTTTCCCAACTAGAAATGGATTTTTGTCGATTAAATTTTTATCGGCAAAAGTGAGACTTCTTGTAGTGAATGGTGTAAAATTTAATGTATAAAGAGAAATAGAGAGAGAATAAATTGTATGTATTATTGATTGATTTATATTGATTACAATTCCTATACAATCTATATATAGAAGAAAATGTGGTAGTAGGTGTAGTGGAGGTGATAGTGGGTTAGGTGAAGTGGAGTGTGTGGTGAAGTGGAGGTAGGTGAAGTGGAGTGTGTAGTGGAGTAGGTGAAGGTAAAGATGGGAAATTCTAACAAATGGTCATTATTATTTTTTAGTGTAAATTGTAAGGTTCTAGTGGTCTATAAATAGTTCATCTCATCTATTTTTTTCTACACCAACTATTGTTTATACTTGAGAGATTATTAGCAAAGAAGGGTATTTTTCTTGGTAGAATTTTGGGTTCACCATCTTGTGCAGAGTTGGCCTGAACTATACGGCAAATGGTCGGGTTGTTGTATCCTAGAGGGGACAAGTCATAGTTTTCGTGACTGCTGTATCAGTATTTGGGTTCTTCCTACCGCAATGGGCTTGATCTTCTTAAAGAAAACGAAATATTCATGCCTCAGCTTGATCTATTTGTATCTCATTTTCTTTACATTATTTACCAATAAAATATAATTTTTTTGGTATTTTTACCAACATCATCTCATCTCTCAGTGTTTCGTCTTTGATAAACATGAAAGGACAACACCACTTCCCTACAATAATGGCTTCCAAGCTCCTACAAGATGGTGGAAAATAAAAAGCTGGAAGGTGAGCTCGGAGGGTAGTGTTGATGCCTAGTGCTTCACCTAGTTCATAGTTTTGGGGGGGTTTTAGTCAAAATGTGCCACCCTTCTCTTCTCGAAAGGCGTGGAGGAAAACCATGTGGTGCAATTGATGTCGCAGAAAATGCACCACCATTGTTGAGTCTTCTTTCGTAAGGAATGATATAAGATTACTGATATCTGTCATCGGGATCTAATGGTCTCAGTTCAACATCTTGGATGTAGTTACCCCAACAACAACTACTATTCATGTCTTCTTCCTTTGAACAAGCATGTGATTCCCTATGAAAGGCAATTCAATACTTAAGACAAACCTATCAATAAATTCTCCATTCAAACTAATCATAAACATGCTAGTAGCCTTTAGAAATTGATTATCTACATCTCAAGGTTTTAAAGTATCACAAAAACAAATATTGCCCGATATAATGAATTAGGTGACCATTATCATAAAATTTTTAAATCACTGGTCACAATAAGGTTTTATAATAGCCCATTCGATAGCATCGGTTGTGAATCAGGCTGTTAATTAGACAAAATATCAATATGTATTGCAAATTGACTTATAGATATACAATTTTTACCTATAAGTGTTGGGAGTCTAAAAAATTATTATATATCGGTTTATATTTAAAATTATGGTACAAATTAATGCACAGAAAAAAACATTTCTCCTATTTTGGGCAAGTTGGATTTTATATTGTTTATAAAATACCTTAAAATTGTTTTTTAGGTCTTTGAATTTAGGGAAAAAATTGTGAAGCAAAATGAAAACAAAAGGAAAAAATGAACAAAAATTATTTTCTATATTATTCACTTTTTCTTTCTCTCTGCAAATTCCAGTCCAAACACACCCTCTACAAACGTCCTAATTTTTTTTAAAAAAATCAATATTGGTCTTAATTATGGACTGCAATGTATGATTGTACACTTCTACTTGGATAGGTCTTGGCCAAAGCTCTGCTTGACCATGATAACACCTTAATTTCTCAAAGCTATAAAATTAGGGAATAAGCTTTATCCGGTCGATACAACAAATTGGAGGGTCATGCTTAGATCTGTGAAGTTTATCATGGGTTTTACTTTAACTATATAAATCGTTTATTTTGTAACTTTTTGTGAGTTGATCATCTTAAAAAAACATATTGATTCAATAATCATAATCATAATCATAATCATATAATTTTATCACATTCATTTTTTTAAATATTACATTTTTTAAATTATATTTATCGTTCATTTTTATGAGTACATATAGGATAAATTACAAATACACCCTTGAAATTTACTTAAAATACAAATTGCCCTATTTGACTTTGAAAATTATAAAGACTCTATTGTCAGAATTTTTTATTTAATAGAATTAATCAAAAAAAAATTTTTTTTTTTTGAACTACTTGCTTATACAACAATAAACTTACCAGAATTGTTAATTAAAATATATTTGTCACATAATTGAAAACTGATAATTAATTTAATAATTTATTAGTAAAAGAAATTATTTTTCATGCAATTACAATTTAAAAGGATACAATGTAATTTTTAAAATTATAAGAAATAAGTCGTATTTTAAATAAATCTCTTAACATTCATGTTATAAATTTCATGACAATCTGAATTTTATTTTATTATTTCATGGGGAAGTCCAAGTATGGATTTGGCATGCAATAAAATGAAACACAAAAGTCAAGAAGTTTGATTTAGGATACATACCCTTTGTGAGACCCATGGGGCTTTAATGCATAATAGAGATTGGAACTTGGAAGACAAGGGTTTATTAACAACTGGAACAAAGGTTGTTTCTTCATCATCAGATAAGTAGTTAACATGCAACTCCTTGTTCTGAGGCAAAGGCAGGTCCTTCACATTCAAAAATCCGAAAAAGGTAGTAGTCTTTGATTCTTTGTCTTGGATCACCAAGTAACCTGAATTTGGGCCATCTGGTGGCAATGAAAGAGATTCCGGAGATCTCTGGATGTGGGAAAGCAACCTTGTTACATACATCTCTGTGTCCAAAAGAAAAAAAAAACTTCTCTCTTTATGTTTGTTATGTCTATATATAAAGAATTTTAACCAAATCCAAAATTAGAGCATCTCCAACGGTAATAGGCATTTTACCTATCTAAACATTACTATAAAGTATATATTTTATTTTGCCTATCGACTGTTTTATGTTTTTACTCCAACCATGCTCTTTATTTTAGCTATTTATCCAAATACTATTAATTTTATAGAATGTCACGTCAACAACAAAGATGGAGGGAAATGATCCTAATGATTGAATACATTTTGCCTAGCATTGAAGGCTAGCTACATGTAGCTAGTGAATATGAGTTGAGGCAAAATGCCTAATCATATGCCTAATGCATTGGAATTGAAAAAAGTGAATCACACTAGGCATTTTAACTAACAAGTATTATATGCCTAGTGCATTGGAGATGCTCTTAAAATATGTTAAAAGTTGTCAAGTTGACGCATACGTTCAAAATCAATTAACTTGCTAATCGACTCACTTTAGAAATTTTATTGATAAGGGTTGAGCAATTTTTGAAATTCAAATCTTAATTTAAAAAAATTGAGCGATTTGTAAGACTTGTAACGAGTTTCGTTTCAATGATTTAAATTAGGTTGACTTACTTTCAAGTTCAAATCTTAATTTGAGAGAACTTGAGGATTCTGTGGGACTCAGTACGGGTTCCATTTGATAATCCGAACTATTTATTTTATAAGATTCTCTATGTATATTATACATAAAAAAAAAAATTAGATCGATTTGAATAATCGTAACCTTTTCATTTTATCTTATGTATTTCTAAAAAAATGAATGATTTATTTTTAAAAACATACTTATCATTTCTTATTTTGGAGACAAATACATTAAAATAAAAAAAAAAGTTAGGATTATTGGGTTAACCTAATTTTTTTCATAGATAACATACGCTGAGAGCCTTACAAAATAAATAATTCGAATCATTAAAATAAGACTCGTGGTGAACCCCACCAAATCCTCTCAAATTTTCTCAAATTAAGATTTCAACTTGAGGAAAGTTCAACCCTATATACTGACAAATATCAATGTGTAGTCTAAATTTAATTTTTACATGTACCCACAAAACACTCATATGGTGAAAAAATTATTTAATATTCTTGGAGCAGCATATCTTCATATTCCTTCACTAATCATCATACACTATACTTTCTCATATTTCTCAATCACCTAATACAAAATCATAAATCTTACTTTCTCCACCAATCACAACACTTTAAAACACCACCTAGTCGTGCTCTAAGAGCCTCCAATAACCACTCTCTTATTTTGATCACATTTTTCAATTATGGACAAGTTTTCTAGCAATATTTCTCGGACTGGAAGTTTTACTGATAGTTTAAGAGATGAGATTTTCTCTAATTTAAAATTTGAATTAGAGAGTGTTTTTCAGTTTGTAGAATTTATAAATAAATAAAAAATTAAATCAATTTAATAATTATAACATATTTAATTTATCGTATTTGTCTATAAAAAAATAAACTATAAATGTGGATTTAAAATATTTTTTTATAATAAAGGTGATAAATTAAATATATTTTAATTTTTTTTATAAATAATATAGATGAAAAGTATAAATAATTTGAGAAAAGCCAGGCTCTAATCTAATCTTTATTGCGTGGTGGATCCATAACAGTTCGCCGTCTATGTGTGCCACGTGTGTGGCTTTGTTTTAACCGTCGGCCGGACATACATATATCGACATTTTCCGTATATGTTACTATCCATCCCATCTGTCCAATGCACGGTATCACTTAAATATTTTAAAAATAATATTAATATTAAATAAAAATTTAAAAAATATTTTAAATTATGAAAAAAGAAATTTATAATCAAATAATTTTTAATTATTTTCATAATAATTATAATTATAATTATTTTAATTTTGTCATCAATAATGTGTCCTATATATTAAAAACAAAAATACGTGTTTTAATATAATTAATAAAGAAAAAATATCATTTTATCCACTAAATTATTATTCAAAAATTAATTCAATTCCTGCTCCTTTGATAATATTCATAATTTTACACCTAAATTATTTGCAGGGGTTTGGCAATAAATTTTTTTGGCTAAAATAGCCGAAAAGACCAAAAATAAATAAAAATCAATAAGATAATATATCATATTTTACATATTATTCAATCACTTTTTCTCTCACAACTATCTATTCAATTACAAAAAAATTCATAAATCATCCAAAACAATACTATTTTTCATCTGATAAAATAACAAAAAAGTTAATTGAAATCGTCAAGTTCCCAAATGAGGCCTTGATTTTGCATCAATTTTACCCCATCGTCAATTATTGTCTATGATTAAACCGAAGTTGTTGGTGTAACGCCGAAACATGACTTGAAATTTTATTTACTACAAAACTATTCCCAAAATATCAATTACACTCCTAAATAAAATGAAATTTGAGAGTTTAATTGATATTTTAGTGATAGTTTGATAGGTAAAATAAAATTTCAAATGAAATTTCGGTATTACGTCAGCAATTTTTGTTTGATATAAACGACAGCTAATGACAGAGGTAAAATTGATTTAAAATCAAATAGTTTAAGTGCAAAATTGATATTATTAAAAGAATAATGGTTAAATTGATTTTTGAGTGATAGTTTAGGAAGACAAAATGATATTTCCTCATTAGTAAAACATGAAGGCAAAAAATATAATAAATTTAGTAATGTGCCAATAGTTATTTTTTATTTTTAATTTATTTTATTTTATTTTTTTGGACCAGTAATGTGCCAATAGTATACATTTTCTAATTCCCAATCCAAATACAAGTATAGAATCAAACTATAGGACCTACACACAATATCAGGATAATTAAAGTTTTTTAGAGTTCCGGTGTGTTTGGTAACGTTTACGTTTTCAGTTTATATTTACAAAAATTTTACAAACTGATTTTTGTTTATTTTTAGAAAAACATAAACTACAAACGCGTTTGGTAATTGACAAAATGTTTAAAAAAATTTAAAAATATAAAAAAGAGTGAGAAATAGCAAGTGGTAGCAAGTGGCGGCGGAAAACGGTAGTGGAAAGTGGTGACGGTGGGTGGTGGTGGTGGTGGGTGGTGGTGGCGAGTAGATAGCGGGTGGTGGTGGTGGGTGACGGTGGCGGATGGTAGCGAATGGGTGGTGGGTGGTGGGTGATGGTGGTGGTGAGTGGGTGGGTGACGGTGGCGGGTGGTAATGGAAGACAAGTACGAATTTCACTTGTATGAAAATATTTTTTTATGGAAAAAATATCAATAACGAAAAATTCTATAATATACAAATTATTGTGTATTATTTTGGTTATTAATTGAAAAGGTCTTTGTTAATTTCTTATGTTTTTAGTTATGCCTAAGGTGATGTACCGGGTCTTTAATTATACTTTAAGTGATGTTTGACTATGATCTATTATAATATTTTTATATGATAATATTTAAGTATTTTACTACACGAAAAAATACTTAAGGTGAGTTGACTCAAAGGTAAAATTTATGCTTATATCAGTAAGATTGTAAGAGTTATTCACATTGATGCATAAAAAATTATAAATTTAAATCATAAACAGCATTCTTAAAGGGAATCAGGTATAAAATCTCTATAACCTTAGTAATTTCAATTGTCAAAGGAGTTTTGATTAATTATGTGACATATTATGATAATCGCAAAATTTTTATTTTAAACAAATTATCTTTACATATCTTTTCTGCCAGAGCTTATGAAGGTGCATTATTAATAATATTGTAAATTCAAAATTTTTATTTAAAAATTATTCAAAAAACATCAATTGGTGTCTTAAATATATACCATCATTTTCAATGAATCATTTGGGTGGTGGATGGTGGTGGCGGAAGACGGTGGTGGAAAAGGGTGGCGGGTGGTGGCTAGTGTTGGGTGGTAAAAAAAAAAAAACTCAAAACTCAAAATAGAAACACATTTTTTGGCCAAATTTATAAACTGAGACCACTGATTTATAAATCAAAAATTTTACCAAACAAGTTTTTATTTAAGTTTTTAAAATTTTTGTAAATATAAACAGAAAACTGAAAACGTAAGTGTTACCAAACGGTTTCATTCCCATTTGCTCCTAATCACATGAGTGTGCTTGAAATTATAGGTTAATACCACACTTTTATCCATTCTTTTCAACAAAAACCTCTCAACCAGCACATAGCAACCAAACCTACACCACCCACCAACACCAATCCGTACATTCTCTGTTTTATTCATACTAACTTGCCTTTTTTCGCCGCCAAGCCACCCTCCTCTCTCTTGCTCCCATTTCATTCTGTCAACAATTAGCGAGCTTAACCCAATATTCACTTCTTCTCCTACACCAACAAAGCTCGTAAACCAAATCACCCCATCGGCCACTCTATTCTCATCCCACACTGCTTCTCTGCCCCCAACAGTGACTATTTCTGTTTGGACTGCAACATCCACAAACACAACATTCCCTTGATTATAACCATTTTCACAAGGAATATTTGCTCTCATCTTTGCTCAAGTGTCATCTCATAAAACATTGACTTTTTCATCTGATCTCTCGATGTTCCATCTTTGATAAACATGAAAGGACAATACCACTTCCCTACAACAATGGCTTCTGAACTCTAGTAGGAATAATGGGAGATTGAATGATAAAAGGCGATCACGGAGGGCAGTGTTGATGCCTAGTGCTTCACCAAGTTGGCAGTTTTGGGGGGTTTGAGTACGAATGCACCACTATTTTCTTCTCAAGAAGTTTGGAGGAATCCCATCTGGCGCAATTGAGTTGGCATAAAATTGACCACCTCTATGGTAAGGAACGATATGAAATTGTTGATATATGTCATTGGGATCTAACATTCTCGGTTGGACATATTGGATGCAGTTGCAGCAACAACTCGTATCCATGTCTTCTTCCTTTGAACAAGCATATGCTTCCCTGTAGAAGGAAATCGATACTAGTAAGATGAACTTAGCAATAAATTTCATCAATGCAAACAAATCGTATACATTCTAGTAGCCTTTAGAAATTGATGTCTACATCTCAAGGTTTTAAAGTGTCACAAATTGAATATTGGTCGCAGTGTAGCAATATGATGAATTAGGCCACGTTGTCATGAAATATTTAAATCACTAATCGAAAAAAGTTTTTATAATAGCCCATTTGATAGTATCAATTGTGAATCAGGCTATGAATTAGACAAAATACCCATACTGTGTGGACATATTTTTTGGATAGCAACAAGTGGCCAAGGTGGCACCGAAATACCAGCTAAGGTGCCACGTGTCCTTGACTTGACGCCGAGGTAATCTCGGCTAGGCCGAGGTTATCTACGGAGATACCAGAATCTGAAATGAGTGGATAAGTTTCAAGAGTCCTAGAATGAGGAAGGACTTCAGCCTGGATAAGGATAAAACTCTTAGGGAGTTTATTTTTATCTATTTGAGAGTCCTGGATAGACATTGAGCTAGAGTCCATTGAAGTTAGGCTTCTATAGGGATCAGGTCAGTGTTAGTTATAAAAGTAAGGCACCCTCGTGGATCTAATGTACGCTTTTTATATTCTGAATAGTGAGTTAAGAACTTTGGCTATCTTTGAGAGATAACTGACTTGATCGTCGGAGTGCCCTCGGGTAGACAAACCACAGTCGAAATCTTATCTTTCTGTGACAGGTCGTTCGAGCTTAATTTATTCCGCTGGTATTCTTCAGCTGAGTACCTATTTGATAGTGTGGTCGGAAATTGACACACACAATTTGGCGCCGTTTGTGGGAAAGAAAGGAGAATAGATGGCCAATGATGGACAGAAAGAGAAGGTTGGGGACAACATCCCTACTGGAAGTGGCAAACATGTTGACCTTGACGTCGAGAAAGATAATTGCAACAAGAAAACTCGGGATCAGAATCCCAGAGAGAAAGACGTCAGCCAGGAAGACGACGTACCGAAGAAATCAGACGGAAGCGGGTATTATAACGAGGACGACCTCTAGGTATGGAAAGATAGATGCCTACGGAGGGACGGTGTAATAACCTGACCCTCGTACATGTTTTTTGATTTCTGATATATGTTCAGTCCCTGTTTTGTGCTTTTAGAATGCTTATTGTGAAATCCTATGAGAAATTAAGGTTAAGTAAGTGAACCCCATGTGTAAGGATGCCTATCTGTTTAATAAGAAAAGTATCTGTTGCAACTATAAAGTTTGAATCAGAAATTAGAAGCCTTAGGGGCTTAAGTATCTGAAATTGAGTTCATATGTGTGATCAACATAATTTTTGGGTAATATTAAGCGTTTCTGTGAAATTTCAATTTTGGATGATTAAACGATTGAGTTTTGTCTTATTCATGTCTTTTAGATATGTATAGATATGTATATGGGTTCTTAAACCATTTGACTCATGAATGTTTAGTTCAAAATATTCCCTGAGAGAGAAGGGGGGAAGAGGATAGGATCAAGAAGGAATTGAAAAAGATTGAAGCTTAAGATAAGTTTAAATTCCCTAGTTCAACCCTCTTCTTTCATTTGAGGTAGAAATGCCATGATGTTGTTGTATGATCTAGAGTTGTAATGGAGATTTTGAGTGTAGATGTTGAATGATGGATAAGATAATCTCACCACTTGAGTGTGTTAATCTAACGTGAACCATCTAGTAAGAAAATACATCTTGTCTCCTTAATTATCAAGTTTGTATACATGCTTATGATCATGACCTTGTGTAGCTATGTTATACGTGTGTGTAGTAAAGAACCTCAAGGAATGGAATTATGTTTTTGAATTTCAAGTTCTCTTAAATCACCTTGAGTTGAATTTCATAGTTGTGTCTCTTACTTACATGCTTTTTGAACCATGAATTAGCAAATGAATGATCTATTTTAGACCGCTTTAATATGCACCAAGAGTTGAACCATGTAAGAAATTCGGACTGAAAAATGCAGAATCGTCGCACGTGCGGGAGTCATGGCCGCACGTGCGGGGCCAATCGCCGACGTGCGGGGGTTGTGGCCGCATGTGCTGAAAAACATGGGTTGCTCCGTTTTGCGTGTAGGACCCTCTAATATTGTCCGAATATATATTTGATGCCTTTTCGATATTTATAAATTCCTTCGAAGTAAAGCCAAACAGAAAGTAATTTGATATGAAAGATGAACTAAATTGCAAGTTTGAATTTGTGCAGGGCACACTCCGGGAGGAACAAGCACGTTATCACGACACTGTGAGTAGTAGTGCGCTTCACATATAGCTAATGATTGTCATTAGCATTCTATTAACGCATGACTATTATGTATGTAACTATGTGAATGAAGCCAAGCATGAAAAGAAATAAAGGAAAGAATGAAATACTTTCACACGACTCTAAGTGTTTGTAAGACTCGGGGCCTATGGCAATTCCGTATAAGTTATTATGATATGAAACAAAGTGCTATACGGGACTAAGTGCTACGATGTGAGTCACCTCTAGAATCCGTGTGAGGCACCTCTTGAGTTCATATGAGTATGTCCAAGGGCTTAGTGCCAAATTATCCAAGGGCGTAATGCCAATCTATTTAAGGGCTTCGCGCCGCAATGTTCAAGGGCTTTATGCCACTCTATTCAAGGGCTTACAGCCATTATGTTTCAAGACATTATGTTTCAAGCCGTTATGTTTCAAGACTGGGCCTAAGGCCGTTATGAAATTAGTATAGAATCAGACTAACTATGTGTGCGCTTTCATATGCATTGATCTATTATGTTTCAAGTTAAGCATTGTTTTATTTAAGTATTGCTATTCACTGAGCCTGGCTTACTCTGTGTTATGTCTGTTTCTGTAGGTAACGAACCAGGTGGTCAGTCCTAGCCATGACACCCGTTTTCTTTTGTCAACCTTCGTGTGTCCAGGCACTTTACGAGGCCACTTATTTGTGAAGTTGTTAAGATGATTGGCCTACTTTTTGATTGCCCATCTAAGGTTGAATGCATATAACTTCAATAGTTTTGTATACGCCCGATTTTAGGGCTGGGCTGGGACTGTATATATGTATGTGTATAACTATAGCTAAGGGATATTTTTGGACTTTATCCGCTTATTCTGCTGTATGTGATCCTGGCATGGTGTTAGTAGCTCAATGGAGTTATTTGTCTCATTGTTGTTTTTATAGTTAGTGCTTCCGACAAGGCCTCATATGTTATGTATACCAGGTTAAATGTTCGTTTCTGAATAAGTCATGCCCAAACTTTTAGGGGCAAGTTTAGGGAGTGACAGACGGCGAGATGAAGGGAATGGCGAACAAATTGGCAGACCTGCAAATGGTCGTCAATTTCATGGTGCAGAACAACGTCATGCAGCCACCGTTCCCGTTACAAGATACGCCAATTCTAGCGACCAAGAAAGATGCCTGAAAAGGGGGGCAGAAAATAGTTCTTGCAGTCCCTCAGCACGACATGATTAAGGGACATTCTCACCGGCCTTCGCGGGAGGTCGGGCATGAAGAATCAACGAGGAGAGAATCCCAGAAGACACGTCGAGCCAAAGAAGCCTGCACCAAAGAACATCGGGATGTTCAGGCAAAGGAACTCTATTTCGACACCAAAAGGACTCACAATGACATTGGAAGTAGCGCACCGAAGAGGCTAAAATCTGGTGATAGCCGAGCTCCTGGATGGACCAAGGAGGATCTGAGGGATTACCTCCAGAGGAAGCGACAAGATGCCGAGGTAATCTCTCCGGTCAAGCCGAGAACGCCGTTCTCAGTAGAGTTGGACAAATTTGAGGCCCCGAAAAGGTTCCATATGCCGACATTCCAAATATATGACGATAAGTCGGACTCCAACTTTCACGTCAGCTTGTACCTGAACTCAATGGCACTATATACCGGGAACGAGTCGTTGCTTTGCAAGGTGTTGCCCTCATCCTTCGGGGAAATTGCATCGGACTAGTTTCATAAGTTGCCGAAAGGAACTGTGAAAAGATGGGAAGGCCTGGCCGAGATGTTCGTGGCCCGGTTTGTGATAAAGAAACTACAGCCATTAAGGGTGGACTCCTTGATGGCTCTGAGAATCAGTGAGGATGAAAGCCTTAGGGCCTATGCCAAGAGGTACTATGAGGTGTTCAACCGAATACCAGGGTGCAACCAAGAGGTGGTGGTCGTGTCTTTTAAGAACAGCATGAACGATGATTGTCTACTTCGAAAATCATTGGCAAAGACACTGCCAAAAAGTATGGAGGAACTCATGGCCAGAATTGAGAAGTATGTGAGAGCCAAGGAAGACACGCCGGGGACAAAGACGTCGAAACAAGAGAAAAGAAACGGCTCGCCGAAGCAAGGCCTAGGTAACACTGGGTACAACAAGCAAGAGACAGGATTAAGGGCTGCGCAGGCAATCACAACCGTATTCCGAATCCCGGTTTACAAAGTCTTGGAGAAAATTCGAAATCAATCCTATTATAGAGCACCAGTAAGGATTCCGGGCGAATTTATGAAAAGAAGCCTTGGCAAGCACTGTGCTTACCACAATGAAGATGGACATCTGACT